AAACCATCCAAAGGACACACAACAGACTTGGTGGTTTTATATTTTCCCTGCAGTGGTCTCTTGGTAGATTCAGGCCCTCTGGGCTTGCAGCAAGTCCGTGGAAGTCTACCTAAGGCAGATGGAGGTGGTGAAGGGAACAGGAAGTTTCCTACTCTTACACAGCTGACTTGCTGGCAGTACACCTTTCCCCTCTCCCCCTTATAGGAGGTGGTGAAAGGGCTATTTCAGTTGAGACAGAGGAACAAGAGCAGGGCTACGTGCTTCCTCTTCCCCCAAGCAGCTTATCGCATCCAAAGTCTCCTTTAATCTAAAATCTCCAGTATGTCTAGCAGTGTAGGTCAGTGATGCACATCTGTTTTTTTGTTTGTTTGCTCTTTTGTTTAGTTGCCCTGAAATGCATCATCCTTCGTTTATGCACTCAGGGATGTAGGAAATTGCCACTCCTTTTGTGTTACGAATTGGAAAGGTATGAGTGAGTAGCCCAAGGTCTAACCTTGACATATTGGAGCAACTTTTTCTTTCTGAAGAGGCTGCTTGTTCAGCATGGGGTGTGGTTTATGAAACCTCAACTATCATTCAGACGCCTCTTTCCCCCACTTCCTTAGTCCATTGCCCAGTATACTACACTGTAGAGCACAGAAAGTTTTCCAGAAATGCAGTACATATTTGTTCTTACTCAGTTAACTTTTTTTTTGTTCCTCAACCACTTTATAATGTATTTTTTAACTTATTATTTTGTAACGTCTTGTTTTTAAGTATTGCTGCTACTCCTTGTTACTCTTCTCACCATTTTTATTGCGAATTTTATTTTGTGAAAAAGTTGTACACTAATGTTCTTCATTTTATGTCTAAATCAAAGTATTTAAAGAAATACTAGTTCTATTTAACGTGGTTATGGAGCCAGCTGGAATAAACCGTGATTGTATAGCAGGCTGGGCCCAGGAGGTCATGTTCATTTTTGTTACATATGCAATAAACTCTCACAACTTTAAATTTGTGTAAAATCTTTTAAAATGTTTCCACTAGTGTGTTAGATGCACCAGAAATGTAATACTAATCATTTCAGCTTTCTTTGTGACTAGGAAGCTAGGTAAGATTATTTGTTCCTTTTGACCAGGGCAACTCACCTAGAGCTCTCCAGCTGTTGCTCACCTGCATCGTCCTTTGTCACTGGGTGTGGTGACTGGGGCTGGTGGGAACTGGATCCCCACAACACCTGGAAGGTACCATGATGGCTTCCCCTGATCTAGGATAGTATTGTCCACTCTTTCCCACCACCTGCCCTGCAGATCCTTTTAACCAGAGGTGCCTGGCACTGAATACGGGACCTCTAGCATGCAAAGCATTTTTCTTTCTCATTTAAGTCTGGCCCCTTTTTATATAGCATCTTGCCTGCTCACCTGTGAGAAGGAACAGCCTTCAAACCTGGCAGAAACATCCTTGTAAAATGTGTGTGGGGTCAGGAAAGCCAGTTTTGTTTCGTTTTTTAAAAAAGAAACTGTGGATAGATTTGCAATCTGGCTCCCATGCTCTCCTTCCCAAAAGCATCCTGCCACATGATGGCTGCCCTGAACATTTCCTCCCTGCTTGGAAGCAAAGGGTTATGTGGATTTATAACCGAGATGTGCCAGAGCCACGTGCTCTGACTTATGGGCACATGCAGAGTAATGATGGTGCTCCTTCCTGGACGGCAGAGTCATTAATACTCCTGATGGATGTTCTCTTTTTCTTTCGGGCTTGGAGGAACAGAAGGTCTTGGCCTGCCTTCTCGCTGGTTCTTCTCCTTCCTTGGATAGAACAAAGAGTGTCGTTGTGCCCAGGTTGAGACTGCAGGCCCTGGCAAAGCCTGTCCTGAGCAGAAGCACTTGCATAACAGTGGCGTGCTGATGGATCGACTTGGACAAAGCTCACCTGTCCGGCTGCTTGCCTGTAACCATTACTTTCCCTTCCCCGACTCCACATGTGCTCTCCGAGAAAGTTTGTGCTTGCACACTGGACACGTGAGATGGATGGGTTGCACGTGTCTTTTCCTAAGAGCACAGTCTCCAACCTGCCAGCTCCGGCAATTTCCCTCACGTTGACTTGCCTTTGTGTTGGTCCCATAACCCCTGTGAATTGCAGAGGATCCTGGGAAGATTACAAAGATGCTTGCTGAGGGCATCAGCTCAGCTCGTTGGCAGGGCTGGCTCAAGGCGGGTGGGGGGCTCGGCAAGTGACCTTAGCAGGGACCCCTCCTGCTGTGATGGTGCCCAGCCACAGGTTTAACTAGTCATACACTCCAACATATCTCCGATGAAAACAGGGACGTCCTAAGGAAAAGTGGGACTTTCCAAGATCAAATCAGAAACTGGCTTCTGTAAATCTGGGACTGTCCCTGGAAAACAGGGACCCTTGGGTGGGTCTGTAGTGGAGTGTGGCTGTTTTAAATTTCTTACCGTGGCCTGGTGCAATGTGATATTGGGGCCATTTCAGGACAGTAGAACGGCCACACGCTGCTCCCATCACCAGGGAAATCACTGCATGCATCAGTGTTGGTGGGCCTTACTGGGACCCCAGCAGCTAATTCCTGCTGGTTACTGACACCAGGCCTGGAAGGTTGGGCTTCACTAGCAATCTCCTTGCTTTCCTCCTGCTGGCAGGTGAATATTTTTCTATTCCAACAGGCCTTTGGGAACTGACTGCTTTTGAGGAAAGGGCTGGTGCTGTGTTTTAATTCTATTAGTGCTTTAATTACACTTTAATGATTGTCTTCTCTCGTTTTTAGCTTGCTGTATTTTATCTGTGTTAGCTTCTATGTGTTGGAGGAAAGGTGGGATATTATTAATAATCAGTTCTTCTTTTTGGGGGTACTCAAGGGTACGTAGTATCAAAATCTCCCCCCCCCCAATTTTAAAAGTGTGGCACTTACTGTTACAACTTCATGCTAAGTACCTGCACCTTTTTTCTTTAAAAAAAAAACCTCCCAATGATAATAATAATAATTTAATTTTAAAAAGTTTTATTGAAGTTTTCAGCAGAAAGAGAAGAACAGAAATAAATAGGAACAACAAAACAATAAATTATTAAATCCATGTGTGCAGTGGGCATCTGCATCACCGGGCTGAGCTGATTCAGAAAAGCATTTGACTCTGCAGGAGACCGCAGCAGGTGAAGACTTGGCAGAGAAAGAAAAAGGCAAATGACATTGCATGTAATTTCAGTCAGCAAGAACTTCTGCTTTCCCAGCAGCCATCCATCAGTACAAGGAAAAGCACTTGTGGGTGCTGGGGAAATTCTGCTTTTCTCAGATAAGGAATTGGTGCATGCAAAGAATAAGAACCGGTCATCCCTTTCTAGGAAAGAGGAAAGGGGACTCCCCTGCATGCTGACCATGCAAACCCAAAACACATAAGCTGGATTCCATTTTCTTTCATTTCATTTGTACCCCCACCTTCCTCCAAGGAGCTCAAGGCAGCAGATCTGAGTCTCTTCCCCACCCTGGGCCTGTCTTGTCTCATGGCACGTAGAATTTTTTGAACTTAGGATCATAGAATTGTAGAGTTGGAAGGGACCACAGGGTCATCTAGTCCAGCCCCCTGCAATGCAGGAATCTTCTTGCACAGCAAGGGACTTGAATCTACAACCCTGACATTAAGAGTCTTTACTGCCTCTTGCCTTTTCTCTAAGCGAGAAAATCCCAAACACTGCAACCTTTCTTTATAGCGGGTATGCAAAACAACTGCTTTTTATACGGGGCAAGGTGCACCTTGGCTTTTGTATTGACATGAAGCTGTCGTTGGGCGTGGTGATTTTCAGAGTGCAAGGGGTCAGGCTATGGGTCCTGAGGAGCCTTAACCATCTGAAATCAGCCACGGGGGAATGGAAGCAGGAAAGAATAGGCGGAGGCTTTGCACTGCATGTTCTCAGGCAAGCGGAGTTTCCCCAGGGCATGTAAACACAGTGCGATTGTTTCAGTTACACGTGCTTAGACTCTGCCTGTACAGCCAAGGCACAATAGGCCATGGGAACTTGGGCACTGAGCCAGAGACTTCACTGAACTACAGGGTTTTGAAGGACCTGCGTGGTGGCATCTCGGGGACTGGGAGGGAGACAGTACCAGACAGCAAAGGAGGAAGAGCAGCAGCTTCTGATCGTATTCTGCCACGTGTCACCAAACCTGTCTGGGATCCCTTTCCATGAAACAGTGCACTGCTGCTGTTATCATTGGCTGGTGCTGATGGGAGTTTGTAGCCTGACAGCAGCTGGTGGAGGGGCAGCACAGACTCCCCATCCCTGTCTTCAAACACTTATAATGGGCTCCCGTAGCCTCATGCAGTGTGTGGGTCACAGAGGAATGCATGTTCCTCCCTTTGTGATCTTCCAATTCAACAGCTCCTGATAAGTTTCCAAGGGACCCACAGGGCCCCCATAGTGGACTGGCTGCAGTGTGGCGCCAGTTCCTATTTCTGAGCCTGGCCTACCTCACAGGGTGGTTGCAAAGCTTAAATGGGCAAGGGGAGGACCATGACAACACCACTTCTTAGATGAAGTATGGGATGAAAATCTGACGCACCAAGGAAAACACAATTCAGCAACTTCAGATCATGGAAACTTGCATGTATTTGGGCTTGCACACAGGCGCTCAGTTTACTTCTGCCTATAAAGGATGTGGCCTTGTGCAATCTTACTTGGAGGTACGGTAAATCCCATAATAAACCAGGGTGGGGCTGAGGTTTTGACCCATGATTATTCGGTCACACGCACACAGACATCCCATTCTCCCCTTAGATTTTCCTAGGCCAGGGGTTTGCAACCTTTTAAGACAAAAAGAGCCACTTGGACCCGTTTCCGAAGAAAAAAACACCTGGGAGCCGCAAAACCGGGAAGGTGACGTCGGGACGGTGCGTGACTAACGCACGCACCGCCCCCATGCGATGTCACAGCCAGTACAGCGCCCGCCACAGTGGGGAGTGTCGGGGCGCACAATGCGCCTCCTCCCCTCGCTAGTATCCACCCCGGAGCCGCGGCAAAGGTGTAAAAGAGCCACATGCGGCTCCAGAGCCATGGGTTGCAGACCCCTGTCCTAGGCACACATTGTCAAATCCTATGCGTATGAAGGCCTTTTGCACAAACAACTATCCACACATCACTGTCCAAACGTTCCAGAACTGGGGGTTGCCTGATCTAGACGGGTATTTTGTGTGGGTTTCTGTAGCTCCCAGCAGCCAATCAAGTAGGGAAATTTGGCACAGGACGGGGCTTCTTCCCTCAAGGCTGGTCGAGTGGCTGAACGCTTGTCCCCCTGCCTGGCCTGCCTCCTACTCACTTTCTCACAAGAAGACTTCCTTGTTGCCGATTCCCTGCATCTGAGCCACAGCCAAGCTCTCTGTGTACGTGTGGCTTCCAGACCACACTGATTCCCCCGAGGAACCCCTCTTGTGCTTGACCTTGATGAGGACAAGGGCGTTCCTCTCCCGACCCCTTAAGTACGCCTTGTAGTTCTTGGAGAGCAGCGTGTAGAGGAAAGGGTTGATGCAGCTGTTGCTGTAAGCTAGGCAGGTCACGAAAAAATTGATGCAGGCCACTGTGGCGTTTGCAAGGCTGCCCGTCTGGCGGCGATAGACGCTGAGCAGCTGCCAGAGCCAAAAGGGAATGAAGCAAGCCCAGTAGGCAAGGATGATGCTAAATATCATGTACAGGACCTTCTGCCGAGAGCACCTCTTCATCGCCTTGGCACTGAAGACGGCTGCCTGAGACCTCCAGTAGGTCCTGGCCAACTTGATATACAGGTAGCAGATGACTAGGCCAGGGGCCAAGATGCTGGTGATGAAGAGGACAGTGAGGTAGACTTTGTAGGCCCCCATCTGCCAAGTAGGGTGGCACATGCGCTTGGTCACTCCCCCCTGGCTGCTCGTCCGGAGGTCGATGAGAACCATGGTGGGCAAGGCAAGGAGGAAGGACAGGAGCCAGACCGAGCAAGTGATGGTCCTCCGGTAGTCTCCAGGCCTCCGGAGGGAGTCCAAGGGCTTGACAACCGCCAGGTACCTCTCTGTGCTCATGATGGTGAGAGTGAAGATGCTGGCATGCATGGTCAGCAGGTCCAGGCTGAAGAGGACCCTGCAGCCCACGTCCCCAAAGTACCAGTCCTTCACGAAGTAGGTGCAGACGACGAAGGGGATGGTGGCCAGGTAGAGGAGATCGGCCAAGGCCAAGTTGACCACGTAAACGTACATGGAGGCAGACAGACGTACGGAGAGGTTGACAACCACCAACGTGTAGATGTTTCCAACCACCCCGATGACGCACATGACGGACAGGGCACATCCCAGGAAGGAGGTGGCCAAGATGTCGCTGGCGCTGCCAGTGGTGTTGGAGGGAGCGCTGCCATTCTCAAGCAGGCAGGACAGGTTGGCACATGGGCCCAGTTCCATTATATCTGACCCTTGCACTGGGTCAACATGTTCCACCCAAATGGCATGCCGGATTCTTGCCCAATGCACAGTGCAAATAATCCCCCTCCTCGAGCGCAGCTCTGCTCTAATATATTTGCCAACCAGCTGGCACCGCTCTGCTTTTGCTGCCGACTCAACAGCCTTTAAAACAGTTTGGTGCGATCAGATTCCGTGCATAATTTTGCTGAGCAGGAAAGAAACCCACCGATGAGGCAGCTGCAAGAGGACAGGAATGAAAGGCTGCGGGTTAAAGTTTCAGAGCACCCAGGTCCAAATCTTACCACGTTCCAGCAGGCAGGTGAAGGGAGAGGAGAGTGGCTTGGTTCAAAGCAACCTCCTTGTGACTGCCCGTCTTCCTGCCTTTAATCCTTCTGGGCAAACATCCAGCGAGCCACCCTTTGAGAGTGCAGGGCTGGCTCTCCACATAAACTTTATCACACCGTAAGCATCCAGCTTTGAAGGTTTTGCGCCGCCAGCGGTGGCCCTGCCTGTGCAGATCTCCCAGAAGTCGCTTTTCAGGCAGGATGTTTGGCTACAGGTGAGCTGTGCAAGAGATGCTTCTTTCGGAGGGAGAGAACGGTTGCTTGCCTTGTAGATGCAAGAATGCAAATGGCAAAGAATCCCGGAACAGGACACTGTTTGTGGGCGGATTCTGTGCCGGCTGCCAGGGCCGGACCTTGCAAATAATTGGATCTATTGTGACAGATGCTTATGCTTTCTCTCTCTCTGGGCTGGGAAGTCTATTCACTGCCGCAAGAGGTGGGAAGGGCCTGGGATTCTTTCTGACAGTCCCCTTGAGGTGGGGTTTCATCCTGTGCTGCTCAGGAAGGAGGAGGCACAGTCAGCAGCAGACTTTTGTATCTTGGAGCAACAGGGTGGATTTTCTTTCCAGCTGCCTCCTTCCCTGCCTGCAGGGCTGTGCAAAGGCGCTGAGGTTGCCCCCCCCCCAACCCACAAACAGGATGAGTCTCAGTCGCCTTTTGAAGGTGATGCTGGAAAGTGCTGGCAGTGTGCTTCCGCCTCCACACGGATGTGCGCTAACAAAACCCTAACCCTGTGAGGGAAGCTGCACATACTGGTGCTTGTGTAGCTGGTTTTACTTCAATTAATGTTTAATTGTTTTTTAATGGTTTCTTTTTTTTGCAGTTTTATTTATTTATTAACATTCTTATATTACATTGGTAAACATTGTCATATTACATTACAGAGCTTATTATATTTTCCAACATGTATACCAAGATTATATACACACTTTATATACCTAAAAAGAAAAAGAGAAAGAGAAAAACAAAAACAAATCCCCCTCAAATCATATACGTACCAACACATTCAACTTCCTGTCTATCCCATTGTATATTCCTTTTTTTAACAAATGAATGTATTCATATTATTGTATATTCCTTTTACATTTTATCTAATACATTCCTATAGCAATATGTGCTCTTGTTCTTATTTCTCAACTCAGTCTCTCTCCGTCAATCAAATGCTAGCATAGATAACGAACCTTTACTGTATTTTTGAACATATGGTTTATATCTATCCCATTTTCCCATAATTTCTTGATTTGAATTGCTTCTCGGGCTATTTGTCAGCTGCACCATCTCAGCAAATTCTTGTAGCTTAATATTGCCAGCTCGTTATTGTTGGGACTTCTTCCTTCCACCCCTTTGCCACCAAAGCCCGGGCTGCAGTCGTTGCATATAAGAATACCTTCCTAAAGGCCTTTGGGATGTCCCTGCCAACAATGCTTAACAGAAATGCGCCTGGTCTTTTTAAAAAGGTTATTCCAATTTTAATGGTTTCTTTTAGCTGTTTTTTGTTTTAACTCCAGCTGCCTTGAGTCCGTGTCAGCAGGAAAAGTTAAAGGTAAAGGTACCCCTGCCCGTACGGGCCAGTCTTGACAGACTCTAGGCTTGTGCGCTCATCTCACTCTATAGGCCAGGAGCTAGCGCTGTCCGCAGACACTTCCAGGTCACGTGGCCAGCGTGACGAAGCTACTCTGGCGAGCCAGAGCCGCACACGGAAACGCCGTTTACCTTCCCACCAGTAAGCGGTCCCTATTTATCTACTTGCACCCGGGGGTGCTTTCGAACTGCTAGGTTGGCAGGCGCTGGGACCGAACGACGGGAGCGCACCCCGCCGTGGGGATTCGAACCGCCGACCATGCAATCGGCAAGTCCTAGGCGCTGAGGTTTTACCCACAGCTCCACCCGCGTCCCGTCAGCAGGAAAGGCGGGGTATAAATAAACAAGTTGTTGTTATTATTACTAATAATCCTATACAGTGGTACCTCTGGTTACGTACTTAATTCATTCTGGAGGTCCGTTCTTAACCTGAAGCACCACTTTAGCTAAAGGGGCCTCCTGCTGCTGCTGCGCCGCCGGAGCACAATTTCTGTTCTCATCCTGAAGCAAAGTTCTTAACCCGAGGTACTATTTCTGGGTTAGCGGTGTCTGTAACCTGAAGCATATGTAACCTGAAGTTTATGCAACCCGAGGTACCACTGTAGTTGAAACCATCAGTGCATTTAGAGTGTTTTTCACAGCTCTCCAGTGAAAGAGGATCGCTGCCTCTGCGCTCCCAAAATCCAACGCAAAGCAAATACGGTTGGTTAGATCTCATAGCCCCACCTGGTGGCCACGCAGCTACAGATAGGTAGCCGTGTTGGTCTGCCATAGTCAAAACAAAAAAATTCCTTCCAGTAGCACCTTAAAGACCAACTAAGTTAGTTCTTGGTATGAGCTTTCGTGAAGTGTGCATGCACACGAAAGCTCATACCAAGAACTAACTTAGTTGGTCTTTAAGGTGCTACTGGAAGGATTTTTTTTGTTTTGACTGGTGGCCACGCAGTAAAGGTAAATTATTAGTAGGGGGAAAGTAAGACAGGCAGACGACAGTCCGGGCGCTTGCACGCGATCCTGGCCCGGCTGCTGATCCTATGCTCGTTTACCCGGAGGGAGAGTTTGCGCGGCTGCTTCAGTCCAGCGGGCAGGATCGGGTCCCCGCGGAGGGATGGGCGCACAAGGCGGTGGGGAGTCCGGCAAAGTGGGCCGCTCGGAGCTCTTTTCTGCGGGCCAGGGCAGAAGAGGGCAATGGCGCCAGGCAGAAATCCGTCGGGTGCAGCCTCGGCCGGGAAACCGCCCCGCGATCCTCGGGTGGAGGGCGGTATCTAAAGTTAATTAACGGGAATAATAAGAACCAAAACTGGAGGAGGAGAAGCGACGCCGGGTCAAAGGCCAGCGCCACCGTTTTCCTTGCCTGCCGCCTTTCCACCGTTAGAGCCTCGAGGCGGATTAAGAGCCTGGAAACATATTTGACAAATATCTTTATCTTACTTCATATTTGACAAGAAGCTTTTCCTTTTTTAGTTTTATTTTCATATTTTCTTTTTTGTCCCGTTTTCCTTTTACGGTATATGTGGGTGTAAGGATTAATTTATTTTCTTTTTTTGTAAATTTTAAAAATGCAATAAAGATTAATAAATGTAATAATAATAATAAAAATAATAAATAAGAGCCTGGAAACAGCCGAAATCGCCGTGAGCATCAAATGCCACCCTTCCCCGGCCAAAGGCAGGGCTCCTCTTCCTCCTCCTATAAAGCACGCGAGATCCCAAGCAAACGCTCGGATTTTCCCCCCTTTTCGCAAACGCACATGCGCACTCTCGGGCACTGGGAGCTCCTCTCCGCCCCCTCACGTCCGGAGAGCCGGCCGTCACGTGACGCTGAAGGCAGCTGGTTGGCAGTTGCGGGATTCCTCCCCCCCGCCCTTTTCCTTTCTAGAAACTCCCTGATCCGCGCCTGCGAGCCGCTCTGCCCCGAGCCCTCCCCTCGTCTCCATGGTCTCTTCGCCCCCGGCCCGCCCCTCGCGGTCACGTGGCGCCCTCGCGCAGGCCGGAAGGAGGCCTGACAGGCCGGCCCCCCGCCGTTGGCGGCCGCGAGGAAGAGGAGGAGGCGGAGGCCGAGCGCGGCGAGGAGGCGGACGGGCAGGAAGCAGGAAGCGCCGCCGGGAGGGACGAGCGGGAGACGGAGCGAGGTGAGTGAGGGAGGGAGCGCGTGAGGGAACGAGCGAGTGGCCGGCCGGGGGTCCTCCGGGGTCTCCCCGCCCGCTCCCCCAGGGGCAGCCCCGCCCGCACCTGCCTCGGTTGCCTGGCAACCGCCCCCCGGAGGCACCTGCCGGGCCTGGGCGGCCCCTCCAGCCCCACCGAGGGAGGCCCCGCTCCCCCCTGTGCGGGGACGCCGAGGGCTGCTGCTGCTGCCAGCCCGTGTGGGCGTCCCCGAGGCAGCCCCTCCGGCTTCTCCTCCCCCTCCAGCCCCGGACTCGCCTCCTCCCCAGCTGCTGCTGCTGCTCATCCTCCTTCCCCGGCTGGCTTCGTTTCGCTTTCACGCCGGAGAGAGGAGGACGCGGCTCCCCCTTCTCCTCCCAACCAGCCCAAACTTCTGCGAGCTTGAAGTTTTGCTCCTCCGCTCGGCGGGGCTTCTTGCTGCGGGGCGACTCCGCCTCGGATCGGCGGCTGAGCTCTCGCTTCGGGTTCCCCCTCCGCCCCCCAAGTCACCGGCTTCCCTTCCCCGCCCCGGGTCTCCCTCCCCCCCGGGCTCCTGCTTCCCCCGCTTGCAGCAGCTGCCTTCTCCTCCACCTGCTCTCCTAATCCTCCTTGGCTAGGGCCATCTGCTCCCCCGGCCTCGCCAGCCTCCCGGTTCCCCTTCACATTCTCCCCTCTCCAAGGAGGTCTCGTTTCTCCTTGGGAAGCAGCTCCATATCGCGGCTGGGATGGCGTCCCCTCCCTGCTTTCCAAAGTCCATCCACCTGCAATGGTTAATAAAGGAGAAGTAAAGGCAGCAGCACCCTCACCTGAACTTTTGGGGGGAGAGGGGGTGGGGATGCCATTGTGGATTTGGAGGCCTTCCTGGTCCACTGGAAACTGAGGGAGTCTCTTATGTCTTGCTGTATGTTGCGTGTGGGAGCCTCTTATTGCCAGCTTTGAACATTTGGATTTGGCAGAACGTTTATTTCCAGGCGCATGTGTGGTGGTGCCGGGTCACACTCCCCCCCCCCAAAGTGCACAAATCTGAGAGGAGTGGTTGGGTTGTGTGCCTAAACCAGGGGTCAGCAACCTTTTTCAGCCGTGGGCCGGTCCACCGTCCCTCAGACCTTGTGGGGGGCCGGACTATATTTTGAAGGGGGAAAAAAGAACGAATTCCTATGCCCCACAAATATCCCAGAGATGCATTTGAAATAAAAGCACACATTCGACTTTTATTTGAGAAGGCGGATTGAGAAGGCGATTGGGCCGCATCCGGCCACGGGCCTTAGTTTGCCTACCCATGGCCTAAACCAGGGGTCAGCAACCTTTTTCAGCTGTGGGCCGGTCCACCATCCCTCAGACCATGCGGTGGGCCGAACTATATTTGGGGGGAGAAAAGAACGAATTTCTATGCCCACAAATAAGCCAGAGATGCATTTTAAATAAAAGGACACATTCGACTCATGTAAAAACACGCTGATTCCTTGACTGTCCGCAGGCCAGATTGAGAAGGCGATAGGGCTGCATCCGGTCCCCGGGCCTTAGGTTGCCTACCCCTGGCCTAAACCCACCTGACTTCCGGTTAAACTCAGTGTAAACTCAATTGTGCGTGTCCTGAGTAGACATGCATAGGATCATGCTGTTGTATTGATTTGGTACTGTGTGCTTGATGTTGCTTAATTGTGTTGCAATGTGTACTGAGTTCTAAAAGAGGCGTGGTTGCTGAGCAGCCCAACTCCCTTCTTTACCCTACATTTCAGCAATTGCTTTTCCCCCATTTGAGATGTACAGATAAGATTCTAACTGCCATGCCCAGCATGCAGGGAGCATTGTAAGTGTCATGGCAGACAGCTTCTGAGTCTTAGGGCTGTTCCGTGCATGACATTGCTCCCCAGAGCCACAATATCGGAACGGGGCCTTCATGTTCAGGGGCAGCAGTCTGGTGAATGCAGTGGGACAAGGAGGAAGGGCTGCTGGCCTTTTTCATGCTTGGTTTTTACCACGGCATGTTTTCATACTGTGGGTTGACTGGAGCCGTGTGAATGGCCACAGTGGGAATGGGGACCCCTTATGAGATGTTCTGTGTTCTGATTCAGCAGCCGGGCTCTTTTTAGACTGTTGGAGCCTTTTCTTATACTGTATTGAGATCCCCTCTTGCTGCAGGAGGAAAAAGCACATGTGGAATCCTCCCTGGAATGTGAGGTGAGGGTTTGTTTCATGAGGAGTGCTGGGTAGTTGAGAGCTCTTTGCGCAGGGTAAGAGTTGCACCAAAATGACTAGTATGATGTGCTTTGAACACTTGGGTGCTGTGTTATTCACAGCCACCTCCTCCAGTTTTAGTTTTTGTTTAAAACTACCGTATTTTTCGCCCTATAAGACGCTCCAGACCATAAGACGCACCTAGTTTTTGGAGGAGGAAAACACGAAAAAAATATTCTGAATCCTAGAAGCCAGAACAGCAAGAGAGATCACTGTGCAGTGAAAGCAGCAATCCCTATCACTGTTCTGGCTTCTGGGATAGCTGCGCAGCCTGCATTCACTCCATAAGACGCACACACATTTCCCCTTACTTTTTTGGAGGGAAAAAGTGAGTCATATAGAGCAAAAAATACGGTATTTTAACACTTTTGCAGCAGGGATAGGTAACCTATGGTCCTCTGGCTGTTGCAGTTTCCCCAAGCCAAATCTTTGGAATGAGGGCATGCAAGAAGGAAGAGGTGGTCTATTAAGCTGCAGAAATCGCTTTCATAAAGGAGATGGTTGTGGAAGTTTAGTACATGCGGCTGTGGAGATCTGTTTCTGAAGGGGGTGTGTCTGTTTACCAGCTTGTAAAAAGTCTTTCCCTTATGGAATGTGTGTTTGCCAACTCGGTGCCCTCCAGATATTTGGTGTAAGACAGAGGTGGGGAACCGCTGGTCCACGAACCTAAACTTCTCCCGCCAACCCTCCCCATCTAGCCTGCAAGGCCATTTTGGGCAAGCCAGACACTTCCATCGTTACACCTGATGTCATACATTGGTAGGGCTTCAAAGGAAGAATCGGGAAATTAGAGTGAGCTCCCAACATTCCTTTTGCTGGAGCCAGGCATGCTCCCATTGCCCTTCTGCTGATGGACAATGAGAGTGGGCCTTGCTCCAGGAGCGGGAAACAATTGAACAGAAACTGCTTCTCCCACCCAGTGTTGCTCCTTGAACTTCTGAAAACTGGGTGCACAAAGAACAGTGTGAGGCTGCTTGTAAAAGGGCTTTCAAACAGCCCTGTGCTGTGCTTTGGAGTCCCAACAATCGGGGCTTCTAAGCACAGCATCACCTGGTGTCATAGTGGTGTCAGGTGATTGACAGGGTCTACCGTATTTTTCGCCCTGTAGGGCGCACCTCATTTTTTGGGGGGGGAATGAATAAAAAAAAATTATTCCCGAACCCAGCCCCCAGAAAAGGCTGCTATCTGCAAGCCTTGCGAGCCCAGTGGCAACTTCTGCCGGGCTCGCAAGGCTTGCGGACACCTGCGCGAAGCACGGGGCGTCCTCCGGGGGGCGCTCCGGGCTTCAGGCTGCCGCCCACAAGCCTTGCGCGCCCGGGGGAACTCCCCCCGGGTGCGCAAGGCTTGTGGACCCCTGTGCGAAGCACGGGGCGTCCTCCGGAGGGTGCTCCGGGCTGCATGCTTCCGCCCGCAAGCCTTGCGAGCCCACGGGAACTCCCGCCGGGCGCGCAAGGCTTGCGGATAGCTTCCTGAAGCCTGGAGAGCGAGAGGGGTCAGTGCGCCCCGACGCCTCTCGCTCTCCAGGCTTCAGCGAAAGCCTGCATTCGCCCCATAGAACGCACACACATTTCCCCTTCATTTTTGGAGGGGAAAAAGTGCGTCCTATAGGGCGAAAAATACGGTAAATGCAGTCCATCAGGGATTGGAAGGTGAAGATCTGGTCCACTGGCCAGAAGAGGTCTCCTCCCTGCCCCACTGTAGACATCGCCTTGCTGCATCAGGGAGAGGACTTTGGAAACTTTAATTCAGCATCGATTGGAGGCAGTTGGTGGTGTCCTCAACTGTATAACCTGGAGATTTCCCCCCCCCCCTTTGTACCGTATTAGAGAGATTTCTCTCTCGTTCTGAAATTGACAGAAAATGAAGCATTTAGAAAGACAAGAGGCTTAATAAAATCCAATGCTTCAACATTCTTGGACTGGGAGGGCGGGGGGGGGAATCCAAATTCCTACATGCAGGCGTCAGATTCTTAGACACATGGACAACCGAGTGCTAGCCAGTGGCGCTTGCCCAGTCCTGTGTGTTGCTGATAAAGAAGAAATGGTTCAAGTGCTCAGTTCTTCCCCTGCTTTCACTGTTCCTTAACTCTTGCAGCAGCAGCAGCACTTTCCCTTCAGCATCTTCTGGTTGCAAAAGGCTTTTTTGAAAAAAGATTTGTGGTTTTCTGTTACATACATTTCAATAGTTTTATAGTAACGTAAACATATCAAAACTTGACTTCCTCCTCTCTCTGCGGTTCCTTACATTAATTTTTTTTCATTTCCTGCGTATTCTAAATTAGCTTATTTTTTCATTCATCTACTTTAATTGTTTACTCTTATGAAACTGCAGGTTATTACAGTAACCCTGCCAATTTGTTTACAATTTGTTTGTAAATATTCAATAAACCATTTTCACTTTTTAATGTTATCTTGATTTCTCTCTCTCCCCGCCCTGCAGTAAGTTTTGCCATTTCTGCATAGTCCAAAAGTTTTTGTATCCCTTCTTCTTTCATCCGAACTTCTTGTTTCTATTTTTGGGCAAATAACATTCTTGCCGCTGTAGTAGCATCCATGAATAAATTTCTATACTGTTTTGGTAATTCTGCCCCTGTAATTCCCAAAAGAAAATTTGTTTAAAAATGCTGATTTTTTAAACAAATGTTAATTTAAACATCTTTCTCAATTCATTATGTATCAGTAAGCTTTAAACATACTGCGAGACCACCTCTTCTCATTTCCAACACTTATTCGATTTTGATTTATACATTTTT